TTAATTGTCCCAAAATAATGGTCTAAAGTCCCTCAATTAATCGCGCGCGTGAAACGCGTATTTCCAATTTAGGCGCGATAAAGTGAAACCTTCAAGAAATTCTTGTAACGATCGTACCACTAACTATCACTTGAGTACTTAAACCTAAAATTACCTATTTTAGGACCATTGTATATGTCTCCAAATTTCCGAGCTTATTGTACTCCCAATTGGCTAAAGTTTTCAGACACGTTTTCACTATTTATATCAATCGAGTTTCCAAAAAATTAATTTTTTGAAACGAGTTACTTTAAAAATATAATGAAGTCATAACTCCATGTATTTAAGTCTAATGAGGCTATAAAATAAAAATCGAAGCAAATATTCGAATAAATAATTAAATGAGTAAAGGTAGGAGTCGAAAAATAATAATAATTTTTTTTTTACGAGTCCTCACACGTTTAATCTCTTCTTCTTTATTCACTTTTATTTTTTCCTCTCTCCTGCATTTGTCTTTCTTTCTTTTCTATCTTGCCCTCATCTCTTCTTTCTTTCCTCCTATTGCAGGTGGGTCTCAGAGTTTTCTTCAGTTTCTATAGTGGTCTGCTCCGACAAGCAATTAACCCGAAGCAACAATAATCTCTGAGCGCAACCACTCTTCATTCGATGAATACAAGTCAGATACTTGAAAGAGAGAGAGAGACAGGTATAGGGCGAGCACCTTAGATTGGTGGAGGAAACGTGTAGAAATGGAATGAGGAGGCGAAGGGAAGAGTTCGGCATGTTACAAACAAGAGATAGAGATCAACATCAAAAGCTTTCCAGGATACTTATTGACCATTGACAGGAACATATATACAAACTTTGGATTCGAAAGAACCAACACCAACCAGGTCAGATTTGATCTTCAGCAGCAAGGTGTTCAGACTAGAAAGCAACTACCTGGCCCTTCACTTCCAATCAAGCATGTCTAGCAGCTCGAGGACCTCTTCCTCTGAGTTGGCAGCATCGTCAAAAACATCGATGATCCCTTCATTATTGCCGTTATCAATATGCTCGAATCTCATAAACAAAAGGGTAGCTAGGTGAAACATCAAGGTAGTCACTCAATTTCTGTATCTGTGCTTGTAGTGCGCAAGGATTCCAACAAAGTTGCATGCATAATTGACAAATCTGTGTTTGACTATATAGATCGGACAGCTATTATATTTCTGTTCAAACATGGAGTTTCAACTACTATGCATTTTTAGAGCTGCACACCCACCACAGGCTAGCCAACATTGGTAACTCCTTAAATTTGTCTATTTACTTTCTTTTCTATTTTTTTCTAATTTTTAACCAATCTGTCCTTTTTCTTTTGCCCTCTTTGAGATGATCTGAATGAAAAAGCTTCAAACCCTACAAGGATCAGAGTACCATACTCCCTCGTATCCGTTTTGGTGTTTGATATTTAGATGGTCGTTATCTTAGAACATCAATAGAAGCTAAAGTAGTATAGTGAAACATATGTGATTTTCTTTATTTTTCCTAATTATTTCATTTCATATGGGGTTTTTCCCCTAAATTTTCTTGAAAGGAAAGAAAATAAAAAGCCATTCTTTTTTCCCTTTTATTTCCTAAGGTTTTTTTTTCCTTAATTTGAACTAGGATCTACTTATTTTTATAAATTTGTATGGACCATCTGATCATCTTCATTTATTTCCCTTTATTTATTATTGGTATTGTTATAAATTGAGTGCTTAAACTTTACTATTGCAGGTTCGACTGTAACAATCCTAATAGCTATATTAGCAGCAACAGTAATCCGAGAAAGAAAGATAGATTATTTCAAGTAATGCCACCATCGAGCAACAGTTACTTTTTTCCCCTTTTTTCCCAAATCATTGGTTTTACGTGTTCAATTTATTTTTTATTTATAAAGTTTAAATTGCCAAATTATCTTGAGGATATTTTTTGTAATTATGAATTTGTCTATAATACTGGAAGCTGGTAATGTGTTATTTCACTTTTTTTTTGGTTAGAAAAATATGAAAGTAATCTATTTGGAAAAGTCGGTATAGATTCTAATGAGGCCTTTGTGAAACTATGGTGGAACCTGTTTCCTTTTTTGTAAATTCTTAACTCTTAAGGCAAGTGTTAGGGTAATTGGTATAAAAGATATGATTTGAAAGCTATATATTTGTTAATGAATATTGATAAGATGAAACTTTTGAAGTAAGTTTAAGGGATAATCCTGAATCCTGTGAAATACTTTTCTGTCTTCCTGTAATCGTGTGTAATTTTTTAATTAAGAAACTAATGTGTTTGCAGGTTGAATGCTTAACTGGGTTTGAAGGTTTTTCTAAGAGTCTTTGTTGTAACTATTTGGGTTGATTTTCTAAGTTATAATGTTTGGATTTTTGGTTGGTAGCAGTGATACTTGGGAGTGCATTTCATGAGAAAGAATCACCTAGATTTAGGTTTGTCTCTTTCTGTATTTCTTCTCTGTTTGAACAATCTATTCCAATTCTTGCTTATCCAGCTAGCTTCTTGTTTTATTTTTAATACTTGTGTTGCCTTTCTTTCTGTTGTAGATATGAAGCGATTGTAGAGTTGTAAATCACCTTTTTGCCCTACAAACACTTATTCGATGGCTCCAAGCAGATTCAAGCACCACACTTAAGTTCAAACAGCCTAGAGGCAATATTAGTTTCTCCACGAATGGCTTTGCCATCATGTTACCTTTATATTCTTTTTTACAGCATAAAAAATCCTAAACTTTAAAATGAATATGGTTATGCATGCATGTAGTCTTCTATTCCATGCTTCTACTTTATCTAGAATACCTTGAACATTATTTAACCTTCCTTCTGTTTATTTTTGTTATAGATCTTCCTCTGCTAGCATGCTTGTTTTCTTTATTTCACCAGTTTGGAGATGAGAAAATTTGGGAGAGATGCTCTTACTTCTGTGTGGTTTGTTTGCTTCTTTTTCCTGAGATTTTAGTAGCTTGGCTTTTCTAAAATACATTTGAAATTAATGTAGTGACTGTAAGTCTTATAGGGGAGATCTTTCTTTGTTTCTCTTCCTGCAATAACTATTCAAATGTTTTAAGCATTGTTCTCCTTTGGCTGACATTTTTCCTTTTGTTTGTTTGAACTTATGGTTTTTTATAAATTGTGAAGCATAATTTCTAATATTTTTGGTTCTGTTTCTCTATATTTTGAAGTTGTGGTTGGTTTGCCGAAGGGAAGTTGCGCATACCAAGGGCGAGGGCAACACCGTTGTTGGCTTTGAACAAGTGCTGATGGAGATTGCTCACATTCATGAGAAGATTAATCGCTTTACTTAGGTGGTAGTTTTGCTCTACCTTATGTTTTCATGAAAATCGCAATTAAGAACTTAAAAAGTGTTTGAGGTTGTTGGCTGCAACATATTGGTCTTGTCATTTTTCTCTTTTTAACCGGTACAGTCGATATCAGAATTGAATGATGTATTCTAGCTTGTGGGACTGACGAATCTACAAAGGATGAAAGTTTTGCAAATTAGCTCTGTTACCTTACATTTTGGAGTTTAATCTAGAGTTGAACAATGTTACATTAGGATTTTAGATAGCAGAATCTATATTCATTATGAGGCTTGATATTTGATTTGATTTATGCATGTGGCTATCCTAATTATGTCCCATTTGCTAAGGTATTAAACATCTATTGTTAATTTCAAAAGTTTTTTCATGTACTGATTCAAAACAATTGTTCTTGATGTTTCTTGTTACTGAAAAGATACAAAACTTTTGTGAATTTAGATATTGTACTTTTACTTCTGCACGAGTTCAATTTTTTGCATATCTTTTAACTAGAAAGTAAAGAAAATTTAACCTGTATACTGCAGTCATGTGGCATAAATTGGCACCCTTAGTATCATTTTTGTTTAGTTTTTTAGCATTAGGATGCTGGTCTCATCATTCTATGTGGCAGGTTGGGGACAGTGGATCTGCATTTTAGGGGTTTGGTTATAGAGATATGAGGTTCTACGTACTGATAATGTTGAGTTTTGAAAAATGCAGATAAAAGTACTTTTAGGCAGTATTGGTAAATGCATCAAGTCAGAAATGCAGGACTATTGAGAACATCTTTTAATTGACCATGGCACCACCAAGATCAAGTTGATAGAGTTGACAACTTATTGCCTTTGCTTAAGTTTCACTTTTGACTCTAAATTCCAGTAAATTAAGGTCATGAATTTTGTATCTAAGAGGTCTAATGGGTTAGTGGCATTCTTCACTATCGGTGCTTTGAGCATTTGCTTGCAATTAGTGATAAAGTGCTCCGGATAATGGTATTGAAAGATTGGAAGACAACATTATTGTTGCATATTTGTCTTCTTATTGATTATTAATGAATTTATGCTAAGTTCTGTGCTAATTTTTGACCATGTACAAGAGATTTCTGTCCCTTGCTTGCTCACTGATAGGAGAGCTTTTGATATGGCTAGCCATCCAAACTATGGAGTCTCCGGTTGTGGTTGCTTTGGAGAATTTAGAGACTTTGGTTGGGGTTGCTTTGCAGCTATGCAGACATGCCAGTGCCACAGTTTTTTCAATTGGAAAAGAAAATATAGATGGTTTTAGAAAAGAATAGCACAAACAAGTATAATATTTGGATGATGGCCGGGATAAATATATTTTCAAATGGCAAATCCTTTTGTTTGATCCTGATTTAAGAAAACTATATGCTCGTGACAAAAGTTGCTTCAGGGATTAGGTTATTATTCTCAAAACATACTATTTCATTATACTTTTGGTTTATAATGTTTGTATCAAATTCACAATGCTTTGCTACAATGACTTGCATGAAGAACAAATAAGTATATACTATAGATAAAGATGTACAGACATAGAAACATTGACGAGTGCTTTTATAATTTATGTTTAATTTATAAACTTCTTCCTGTATATATATTTCAACAAGTTATAATTTTGCATATCCTTGCATTCAACTTGAACAGTTTAGCCTTCAGGTCATTTCAGGGCTCTTGCTGGTGCCATTGACTCTTGTGCTGACCATCTTTGTGTTTTGGCATGTTTATCTTATTCTGCAAAACAAGACCACAATAGAGGTTTGCATTGGTGGTGATAGTAATTTTTTTTCATCTATCTGGCATCTGATCAAGTCTGATGAACACTTCCTACCTTTTTTGCCGTACAGTACCATGAAGGTGTGAGAGCTATGTGGCTTGCTGAAAAAGGAGGTTATCTGTATTCACATCCATATGATCTTGGTGCTTATGAGAATATGATATCAGTAAGTTGTTTCTCTCTTCTTTTGTTCTTAGTAGCAAATAAGAGAGTCTAGAGTAGGCATTTCATTTGGCTGATCAAATTAGGCTTTTTGTGCATAGAAGTTTACTAACTAATACTGTAGATATCATGGTACAACATGCTCTCCGAGATATGGTCTTAGCTTTCTAGGCATTTATACGTGATTTACTTGACTTGCAGGTTTTAGGACCACATATCTTTTGCTCGGTATGTCCCACCTCAGAGCAGATTGGTTCTGGCCTTCGTTTCCGCGCGGGAGTTGATAAGTTAGCAGGGATATCATTTTAGACGTATGTAGAGCTTGGAGTTTCAATAATTTTGTACTGCTGGTAGTATTGGAGGAAAGGCAGCAGGTCCTACATCATTCATTGATGATAATCAAATTCTAGTGTCCGCGTGTTTTCTTTTTGGAAATACAACCATTAAAAAAGAGTTTGTCTTGTGTAGCTCCTCCTTACACTCCACGTTGTTGCAGAAGTAGTCAAAGTTGACTGGGCTTCTGAAGCAGTCAGATGTAAAATAGGACCCTCCTTCTTATGACTTTTTTTTTTTTTTCAAAAGTACAGTCCTCATGCAATCATGTACAAATGACTGAGTTCCAGGCTAACTCACAGCAACTTCAAGTAGAAGAGATAGGCCAAAAATTGTAACTTAAAGATGTTGTAATATTGTGATTCTCAGGAAGTGTATGAACCATAATTGATTTAATTGATGTTTTGATTGAATTTTTGCAAAATTTAGGTCCCGACTCTGAAATTGGAGAGTTTTATATGGGGCTTCCATTTTCCTTTGTTTGATGAGCATCTGAAATGTGATTGATGAATGCATTATTACTAGGAGGCATAACCGCGCGATGCGCATTGGAATGAATAAAAAACATGCCCAATTAAACATAGATTCATGAAATAAGAATGTTTGGTAGATAATAACCTTTATAGTTTATCAAGAATAAATATTCTTTAGGAGACTTGAGATCCTTGGTCTCATATTTGTCTTCAGCTAGCATTTTACCTAGAAGAGATGACCGCTGGCAAGTATTCTTCTCAGGAGTTGTCATGGCCGCAACAACAAAATAGTTTATCAAAAAGGACCTTATCAAAAAGAGCAGCCTTTATGGGTGAAGCCAATGCATTTAACTACTTCCCAGTCCTACAATCTCCCAATTTAAGATAGTTTCTTGGCACTCCACCAGCTTTTCTAAAGCTGCTACAATCTCTCAGTCCTGCAAATACAAAGCAACAAAGGAAATTCATAAATCATGATATTTTCCAGTTTATTAGTAGGAGAGAAATGACTGTGAGTAAAGAAATATGCCACCATCAATGAATTACGGAAAGATCTGAAAACAGTTCAACAATCTTAGAACTCTTTGCGTCAGTGAGATATTTCTTTATATTTCAAAATTTTAGAACTCTTTTATTGTTATCCAATTCAACTAAAGAGGAATTCAAAAACTGTGCCCATATCATTTTAATTTCATTGTTCAACTCGGTTAACTCATAGTCAACTAATATGAGAATTCAATCACTTTTTTTTTTCAAGCTACTATAATCACAATTGGATCAATATTGCTATATATAATGAAAATGCCTTCAAATTTAGCTTAGTATTTCCCTTTTTGTCCTGTGAAGCATAATATATACTTGTGGTCACACTCTATGTTTCTACACTTCATGAAAAATAGTAAACTTGATTTTCATGTTAAACAAGAAATAGAGTGAGATAAAAGAAGAATTTCCCAAGTTCCAACAAAAGTAGTTCTATATCTCGACAGTACTTTTTCTCTCTTATGACGTACGATATATTCAAATCATCACATCCTACGCTTCTACACTTCATGAAAAATATTGAACTTTATTCTCATGCTAAACGAGTAATAAATATTAACTAAAAAAGTATTAACTTTAAATCCTAGCAGTACCTTTCTATATATCTAAATAAATATTCGTACTATTTTTGTGAAATGATTTTGCCGTCTACTTATTCATGTATATTTATGCTTAGCTGTGTACACAAATTATTAACCAACAAACATTTTTGTTCCATGAATCCACATGCTTAAAGGGGCATATTTTATATTTATCCCAACGCGCAACGCGCGTTTTATGCCTCCTAGTTAGGGAGATATAAGGGAAAAAATCCGGAGAAAATGTACAATACAAGCAAAAAAAAAATCACAGAGAAAGTGTTCACCTTTAGAGAACAATCTTCACATTTCTTCATGGTTTAGTTGATAGTCTAACCTCTCAACCTGTGACAAAAAATATGAAACTTATCAGAGGAAGAGAGAAAATTTAATCAAGGGGGAAAAATGTATACAGAACAAAAAAGGAGAAACAGTGGATTTGAGAGGAAGATGAAAACTCAAGAGAGAAGAACAGGAGGAAACCATGAGAAAGAAGCTTCTGATACAACGGGTTGACGGATTGAGGTGATTGATGTGAATTGACCAGCTCTGCCACTCTTCAGCCAACAGCTTTGTTGCAAAAGCCAAGAATTGAGAATTGAGGGAGACCTCTGCTTGCTAGTTTACCCGGTGGTCAAAGACCTGCACAAAAGGAAACAAATAAAAGGAAAAAAATGCGCACATGGAGCACTACCAAATTTTAGTGGAACACTTCCTAACAAACAACAAACAAAGAAACAAAAGGATTGCTAAACGTCTGAGCAAACAAAAGAATTCACGCGTGGGAACGGACGACCATCAATTGGAAATTCACATGGGCGGACGACCACCAATCAACCAATAGCAACGTGCCACGTCAACAATCACAACCCAATTGAAAACAATGGCATTCCCCAATAGACTAGATATGTTAAAAGGAAAGTATGTATTCTATTTGCCAGACTTCATTGTTGTTGTAAATTTGAGGAACTACATTGCTCAAGTTTCGAGAATGAAACTTTTATAAGGAGCGAAGAATGTGATACCTAAGTTTTTTTGACTAATTCCTTTGTTTATTGCTGGAAAAAAATCGCAAGAATATTAATATGATATTGGAGTGGTATGGAACTATGCCTACCGTGCATAATATGTGACAGCCCCACCTCACCCTAAGGTGAACCAAAGGGTTCAGCGGACCGCCTGCCCAACTCTCGCCAGGACTACGGAGTCGATTCACCCAAACCCAACATAGCACGCGCGATAGGACCCAAAGAAAATGAACAAGCAGAAACTACTAAGGTGAGAACATGCCTACCAAACCATAAAATCATAGTCTCAACCGAATACATTTAATAGACAAGGTTAAACACTTAAACATATATTTACATTGAAGTCTTGAACAATTAACATACAGTGCGATCCGAGGTACTCATACTACACAAAATACAATTAGGGTTTCATTTTCAAAAGAATTTAACAACATGACATATATACTAGCTTGACCCTTTTCTTCCAAAACCGTGATTTTCAAGTTTGTCCCCTGTAAGGAAAACAAAGGCAACAGAAAGGGGTAAGCTTACGCTCAATGAGGTACCAAACATATAGGGGTAAAATCATGGCCTTTCACGTTTAATCAATCAGATACATATACCAGATATAAAGGAAAGCATTTAGACACAGTGATTCAAAGGGAAAGGATACAAGTGGCTCTTAGGAGCCAGATTTCCATTTGCAGTACTTGATCCGAACCCGTTGACTCTCCGTCAACGTAAATAGAACCAACATATCCGTAGACCCCACTTTACACCAATTTCCGTCCACCAAACATACCCCTACCGGGCCCGAACTTCATTCAGGAACAGTAATGGTAATACTCGAGTATACCGGAATCAAGAGTCTTAATACCTAAAGATTTCCAAAATAGACTACCGTGGTTCGTTATCTAATCGACCAGGCCCTTGCCGGCCCGACTTGAGTAACTAGCCACATGATGAGAATATAAAGACCAAGACCCATTCAAGCACATGGGGAATTGGAAGATTCAAGTGAAGAATACTTGAGTTTAATAGGATTATTTGATTTTCCTCGTTGATTTTGGTTATTTCTCGCTTTAGAAAGTCTAGGTAATTAAACTAGTTTAATTGCGGCCCATTTATTAGTAAGTGAGGCCCAAAATCTTCCTTAAGTATGTAGGGTAGTTTGGTCAATTTTTGGATTAGGGTTAATGCTTGTAAGGGCTATAAATAGCCCCACTTCCTCTTTATTTTGTGACCAGTTTTTGACTATTAAATACAATTAGTGAGTTTTCACTTTCTCTTTGGCAAGAGAGTTGCCTTTGAATACTTGAGAATCTTCTCAAGTTATTCACCCGAACTTATCAATCGAGTATCTCCTTGATTGTGGCGTTCTACTACCTCCAATTTGGTTCGTTAATTCGAGTAGTTACGGGTTGAGATAATATCAAAATTGTTCGTGACTTCTAGGGATTAGTTGGGTTAAATTTCCGCTGCCTAAGCCATGGAGTTTTGGTTGTCTAGATCGGGGTTTCACATCAGTTGGTATCAGAGCTAGTTGACAACCACCACGTTATATCTTTTTTTTTTTCATTTATTTCGAGTCATATATGTTTATCCCAATCTGTTCGTTTGTTTAGAGCAAAACAAAAAAAAAAAATTTATTACTATTCACAGATACTGTTCACCGATACTGTTCACCGACACTGTTCATATTTACTGTTCATACGAATAAAAATCTGTCCAGCCTTGTTGTTTGTGTTATCCAACTTGTTTACTTGGTTTTCAAATCTGAATTTTGGCAAAACTTGTTGGAATTTTGTGAATCTTGAAGAGAACTTACAATAATCTTGAGCTTCTTGAATTCTTGACCACAATCTTGAAATTTCTAAAGTTCCTGATGTGACGACCCCACTTCTCCCAAGGGCGAACCCAAGGGTATCGGCGGGCCGCCTGCCTAGCTCGCGCCAGGACTCAAAACTTAAAACAATAAAAAAACCAGAAAATTCAAAAGAGTTCTAGATACAAACCCAAAAGAGTTATAATTACATTCTCCAAAAGTACATGCTCACACTATTACATCCTTATAATTACCACTAAAACCAAAATGTAGACCCTAAGGAGGGTCCTTGTACAAACCACCCAAAACTAAAACAAAACAAACATACTATAAGTCCAACTATTACAATCAAACCTAACTATGCTAGTGTGTGTGACAAAAGTCCCCGCGTCGGCCCCTGCTAAGGAAAACAAAAGGAATGGGGTAAGCTATATACTTAGTAAGTAAACAGGGGCAAAAGCGTAAA